ATTTCCAGTGCAGCACCTTCCCCCCCTCCACCCCCCCGACACCAAACTGGCTTCTCTTTAGAAAAGGGGACAGCAAAGAGCCCTCCCTGCTGCTGCTGTTCTTTCTGGAAACGGCAAGACCGGAACTCCTCCTGCGCACACGCCCGAAAGTTGGATTCCCGCCCCCGCCCTTAATCCTGCAGACCGCCAGATCCCCCAGCGCTCACCTGAGGGTGTGTCTCCCCGTGAATTTCCATCGCGATCTGCAGGGCACGCTCGTACATCGTCTGGGCTAGTGCCGCCTGACTGTGAGCCAGCAGATAGCGGGCATAGGAGTCCAGGCTCATGGCAAGCAGAAGGTGGGTGTTGACCCTTTCTTCCTCTGGAACAGGAAGCGAAGGGGAGCATGAACCAAGCCCAGGTCCGGCCTGGGTTAGCGCAAGTGCCCTCCCACCAGCCCCTCTGTTCCCAGCACATTTGGAGGGCACCAGATTGGGTTTTCCTCAATGCCTTCAGTCAAGAAGGTCAATGGGGGACGCTGCGCCACCCTCAGTCTGTCAATTCTAGCTGGCCTGGCAGGGCAAGGGTGGCTGAATCCCCTACTCCATAGGGAAACTCTTCCAAAAAGTGGGATTAAAAAAAAAAGGGTTAAACCCATGAGAATCACATCGGCCATGTGGATGCGATCGGATTCCAAGTTTTAAATCACTTTGCTCTTGTGAAATGGATTGAGAAAGGCCTTGAAAGGGGGGAGTGGGTGGGCAACCTGCAGCCCCAGAGACACAATCAGCCCTGAAACCTGGTTTTTGTGACTTGGGGAGGCCACTCTGATGACACTATCTGGAGCGTGCCTATGCTTTTGTAGAAAGATGTCTGATCTCTCCCTCCTCCAAATAATGGAAAATCCTATCTCCTTTCGCACGGCCCATCTCTCCCCCCCCCTCCCCTCCCCACGGCTCTCAGGCCACTAGTACCGTTAACTGTAAACCCCAGAAGGTTCCCCCCCCAACACCAAGCAAGCAAATACTCAAGACTGTCAGGCTGAAGGCGAGCAGGTCCGGGTGCCCCCTCCTGCTGACAGTGTCCTGTACCTGGCAAGGCGTCCGGGACCAGGTCCTTCTGCTTCGCAATCTTCTCCTCCAGGGTCAGGATGCAGAACTGATAGCCAGCAAGGGCTAGTTTGTCCCTGCCCAACAAAAATAAAATAGGGAAAAGTTTATTCGAGATTCCTTTGGGGGTTCAAGTTTTATAACTAAAGAGATGGTTTTTTCCCCAAATATCTTTATAAATATATATATATATTTATATATACCGGTATATATAAAAATATAAATATATACAGTATATAGAGAGAGAGAAAGAGAGAAATATATCTCTATATCAAATATATAATATATATTATACTACATATACATTTGTGCAATAATTATTTTATTTATTTATTTATTAAATTTATATGCCGCCCATCTCCCCCAGAGGGTGACTCTGGGCAGCTCGCCATTAAAATCAAACATCAGAAACAGTAAAAATAAATATCCATATTAAATTACCTAAAAAACAATACTATATAAAAAGACTATATACATAAAAAGACTATATAGTTCAAGATGACGGGGGGGCAGAATCGATTTCCCCACATTCCAATTCCAGCGATGCGAGCCCCCATCCGGCCCCCAGGCCACCTGGCATAGCCAAGATTTCCCGCTCTTCCTGAAGGCCAGGAGAGTGGGGGCGCACCACAATTATAAAATGTGTGTGTGTGTGTGTGTGTGCACGTACACATACAAACATTCTATAATTATTGTATAAATTCCAACCAGCAGGCACCATGTTAAGAAGCTAAAGGTCTTATTTTCCTTCATCTCTTCTTAGATGAGCATCGGCTTAAAAGGAAAAAAGTCTCTTGCTCTGTAACCTTCTGATCCTTCCCATCAAAGGCATTTATTTATTTATTCCCACCCATTAAGACTCTTGGGGGCTCACAAAAATATACACAATAGGCAAAATATCTGGAGTAAGCGATGAAATAAAGCATCCATGGTAATTCAACACAGACAATAAGTGAAGCAAATAATGGTGTTAATCATCTTCAACCAAACTAAGTCAGCCCGCAGGACCGATGTCTCAAATGCTCTAGAAAAAACGTCTCTTTTTAATACGTTTCTAAAAGGAATGGAAGAGGCTATCGCTTGTAAATGAGCAATAATTAAACAGAAAAAGTTTAAAGCCTTGATATAGAAAACCCCGGAGGAATTAAACAGGAATTTTGTTGAGCACGAAAACAAGGAAAGCATTCCACAGTTAGGGGGCCATCACCGAAAAAGCCCCCGTGCCTTGTTTGAGGGAAGGCACTGGCGGAGACCCTCTGAAAATGACGATGAAGCCCAGACTGATCAGCGCAGGGGACAGTCCATTAAGCACCGGCTCCCCCATGTCCCATTAAGGAGCAAATTGCCCAAATTCATTTGATCCCTTTCAAAACACCCCAATTCCAGTGGGAGTGGGAGAGGGCTCTCCTAATTTATGAACAAGCCAAAAGAAAGGTGGGAACATGTGGGAATACTTGGGAGGGGGGATCGTGACGGTTGGGCCATGCTGGGACCCTGGGGGCTGGCACACAGGTGAAGTGCACCGGGGGGAGGAAGGCAGCTGTAGCACAGGTGAGCATAAGCAAGCTGTTTTCAGCACGCCGTTCCATTTCCTGGAACTCTCAGCATTTATTTGCTTTTAATGCAGGTTACTAGGTCTCAAGAATGCAACGAGATACTTGGAAGCGCCAGGAAGATCTCCTGAAGCCTCAGACAGTAAATCACCCAGACCGGGCCTTCACCACCCTGGCGTTGCTCTGTTTCTGGCAAAACCCAAACCAATTACCCAACAATGAAAGAACCATGCAAAGTAAGAGATATTTACTGATGTATTATTGATTTACACCAATTTATAGGGGCTTCCCTCTTGCCAAAGTAACTCTGTGGGTGGGGCGGTGAAAAAAATTTAAAATGAAAACCATAAAAATAACAATCGCTGCCACGTGCCGCCTGAAAAACGAAAAAAAAGGAAACGATAGCCAGGAATAAAACCCCAGAAAGGTTATTCTGAGTTCCTGCACATATCAGATACCATGCATTCCTGGACACGGAAACGTTATTCCCCTGAGCGTGGAGGAAAAACGTATTTATTTTAGTTATTTATTGGATGCGCGTGGCTGCCTGACTGTCCACGGCTCAAGGCGGCCCGCAGGATGAGTTAGAACCACGCGGTAGTGGTAGAAGAGCCCCACCGAGACATAAAAACCAGCCCCGAGCGTTTCCCTGAGTTGATGCGCGAGAGC